CTAGCCGCCCCTCTGGTCGTTCGTGAAATAAATCGTCTGGTGTTGTGGTAGACTAAGTATAAAACTATAAACACGATCACTTGGCAAATCCTCAAGTGTTGGTCCAGGATCTTTGCTGGAATGGTAGACTAGTACGACAGCGGAAGTCTTGTAAAATGTAAAGGTCAGGGTTGAATAACCTGAGTACGTGAACTTGTGAGTAATCAAAGTTAATAATGAAAAGACCTAACAAGCATTTATAATTCTACGAGAAGTACCTATTCGCTAATGTACTTGTTCGTCACTATCGCGCTATGCGCCCTAGATGATAATGAAGAGGTGCGACTGTTCGCGTGATTGAAACGACTGTCCTATGACGAGCGCTATTTGCTGACGTCATCCTACGGACTTATCTTCTACAGTAGGATTCGACACTAACTACACTTAATCGACTTACAGAAATGCTAAGTATCAATTATATCACAACAGTTCGCGCCTGTCCCTAGCCGGCCCCTGGTTGTCGCGCTCGTCCCTAGACGGCCCCCTGGCCGTCGCGCCCGTCTCTAGCTGGCTCCCTGGCCGTCGCGCCCGCTCCTAGCCGGCCCCCTGACCGTCGCGATCGCTCCTAGCCGGCCCCCTGACCGTCGCACCCGTCCCTAGCCGACCCTTGATCGCCCGCGCCCGCCCCTAGCTGGCCCCCTGGCTGTCGCGCTCGCCCTTTGCCGGCCCCCTAGCCGTCGCGCCCGTCTCTAACTGGCCCCCTGGTCGTCGCACCCGCTCCTAGCCGGCCCCCTGCCCGTCGCGATCGCTCCTAGCCGGCGCCTGACCATCGCGCTCGCCCCTAGCCGGCCCCGTGGCCGTCGCGATCGCCCCTAGCCGGCCCCCCTGACCGTCGCGCTCGGCCCTAGCCAGCCCCCAGGCCGTTCGCACCCGTCCCTAGCCGGCCCCCTTGCCGTTCGCGCTCGTCCCTAGCCGGCCCCCTGGCCGTTGAGCCCCTCCTAGCCAGCGCCCTGGCCGTTTCGCACCCGCTCCTCGCAGGCCCCCTGGCCGTTTGAGATCTCCCCTAGCCATTGCGGCTGCTTCTAGCCGCCGTCACGGCCGCTTCCTGCTGTCCCTCGGCCGCCCCTAGTCGTCCCGGCCGCCCCTCGCCATCGTGGCCACCCCTAGCCACCGCCGCTGCCGTCTCCAGCCGCCTCACGGTCGCTCCTGCCGTCGCGGCCACCCCTCGCCGCCGTCGCGGCTGTCCCTGGCCGCCGTCGCGGCTATCCCTGGCCGCCGTTGTGGATGCCCCTGGCTGTCGTCGCTGCTGTCCCTGGCCGCCGTTGCGGCTGTCCCTGGCCGCCGTCGCGGCCGTGTCTACTTGCCGCCTGCCGGCCGGCCCCTGCATTTGTGCCGTCGCCGGCCCGCCGCTGCCTCGGGTTCGGCCCGATCTTCCCGATCAGCACCGCCCTCCGAACCCCCCCCGGTACCGTACTGCATCGCTTTGCACCGCACTGCACCGCTTTGTACCGCATTGCACTGCACTGCACCGCATTGCACCGTACTGTACTGCACTGCATCGCTTTGTACCGCACTATACCGCACTGTACCGAACTGTACCGTAGTGCACCGCACTGTACTGCACTACACCGCACTGCACAGCACTGCACCGCACTGTCCTACTCTACACTGCCCTCTATTGTCACTCATGGCGGCGGTGCTTTGCTTTGACGCTGAGGGCCAGCCGATTGAGTTTGATGCGTGGCTTGCTGACCTCCGTCGCCATCTCACTGGTTAGCGGCAGGATGACCACTCGTTGTCTGTCCATCTTGATCGTACCCTCCCCTACCCTGACCCCCACGCTGCCCTGTCTCCTGACCCCTCGTCCGCTGAGCGTGAGTCCGCTGCAGCCGCTGCCCTTGCTCGCTCTGTCTGGCTGTCCCGTGACGCTGTTGCACAGCTTGCTATTAGCAATGCCCTCCCCCTGTCCGAGTGACCTCGCTTCAGGTCTATCACCACTGCCCAAGCTTTCCTAGATGCTGTTGTCCAGCGCTATTCCACCCCGCCTGCTGCCTCGGTCGGTCGTCTGATCCTCCCCATGCTCTTTCCTGACCTTGCGTCGTTCCCCACTGTCGCCGACCTGGCCGCTCACCTACGCACCATAGACGAGACCTGGCGTGCTGCCTGCACCCCCACACAGCTTCTAGCCCACCAGCCGCCCCTCACCTGTACTCTCTACCTGCTAGCCACCCGCCTCCTTGACCGTCTTGCCACTGCCCGTGACCGCTTTCTTAGCGTCCACCCAGCAGACCTTACCCTCACTGACCTTGTTGACACCTTGTCCGCTATAGAGGCCCGCCACCGCTCTATCGCTCAGACCAGCGGTACTGTGCCGGTCCCTATCTTTCAGGGTTGTGCCCCCGCTCAGTGCACCTTCTCCGACACTTCTGCTGCTCTGGCTGAGACTGCCGCTGCCGCACAGGTTCGTCCGGGGAAGGGTCGCCGCCCCAAGGCTGGACGTGGCGACGGGGGTGGGGGTGCGGGTGTAGGTGGTGCTGGAGTTGGGTCACCTAGTGGTGGTGCTGACGCGGGGACCCTGACAGGTGCAGCCGAGCAGCCGTCTCAGCAGTCGCCGGTGTTGCCGCCGGACACGCGCCAGCCGCAGCAGCCGCAGCCGCCGCCGCTGCAGCCGTCGCCGCAGCCGTAGCAGTCGCAACAGCAGCAGAGGCGGGCGAGTCGTCTTCCGCTTGGGTGGCCCGGCGCTGGTGGCAGCGCTGGGCGTAGTGGTGGTGCGCGTGGTGGGCTGCCGAGTGGTGGTTTGGGTGCCGCGCGCTGTCAGTACCTCCTTCAGACCGGTCCTCGCCATGGCTTCGTTTGCGGTAAGATTGGTCATACCTCCGTCCGCTGTTTCCGTCGCCTGGACGACCTGTTTCGTCAGCGTTTCGGCCCGTCGCTCGAGCTCCCAGACTGACACAGCATGCTTAGTCGTAGGGTTCAGATTTTTTATCTGGACATGGATGAGATTGTTGCTGCTCTGCATGTGATGTATGCTGATGACTCTACTGTGCTTCCATCTTATTACCCCTTGTTGCCTAGTGTAGGTGTGCCTTCCTTAGACTCCCCTGCTGCGTCAGGCGTGGGATCCCCTGCTTTGTTTAGCCTTGGTGCTTCCGTCTCTACTTCGCCTCCGGCCGCCACTGCCGCGCTCTCCTTCACCCTCGACTCTGGCGCTTCCCGGTGCTTCTTCTGCGACTCCACCACGTTGACATCGCTTCCTGTCCCTGCTGCCGTCTCCCTGGCTGACCCCTCCTCTGGCCCTGTAGTCGCCCGCAGTTCCACCACCCTCTCCTGCCCGGCGGTTCCTTTGGGCTGTCTCACAGGACTGCATATCCCCTCGTTCGCCAGGAACCTAGTTGGTGTCGGCTGCCTCCAGGACCTTGGCGTCACCACTACGTTCCCTGGTCACGAGCGGTACGCTGTCTGTACCGAGGCCGCCACTGGTGCCCCCCTTACCACGTTCTCCCGGGACCCGTTGTCCGGACTGTTCACACTGGACACTGTGACCCCCCTGGCTGGGACCCCCCCTCAGGTGGCTGCATCTACCCAGGTTGCTGCTGCCTGCTCCAGTCGGTCACTCACCCACCCGACTCTCCTGTGGCACCAGCGTCTACGTCGCCCTGCGCTCCCGCGTCTGCATCACATGTCACAGCACGGTCTCTTCCTAGGCCTTCCTGGGTCGTTCTCTGAGTTTCCCTCCTCCCCAGCACCACCTTGCATGCCTTGTGTCGAGGGCCGGCTTCGCCGTGCTCCTCACTCCTCTTTTCCCCGTACCGCCGCACCGCTACAGACTCTGCACATGGCATCTGGGGCCACGCCCCCGTCCATGGGCCGCGTCGAGAGCGCTACTTCCTAGTGCTTGTCGACGACTACACGCGCTACACCACGGTGTTCCCCCTGGAGCGGAAGGCCGACGTGCCTGACGTTCTTATCCCGTGGCTTGTCGCTGCGCGTGTCTGTCGCGGTCTCCCTGTCTTGCGCCTCCACTCTGACCGTGGTGGCGAGTTTGCCTCTGGTGTCCTTGGTCGCTTCTGTCGTGCGGAGGGCATCACCCAGACGTTCACCTTCCCGGACTCCCCGCAGCAGAATGGGGTTGCTGAGCGACGCATCGGTTTGGTCATGGAGGTGGCTCGCCCCTCCATGATCCATGCCGGTTCACCCCATTTTCTGTGGCCGTTCGCCATTCTCTACGCCGCTCACCAGCTTAACATGTGGCCGCACCCCCAGCAGCCTCAGGTTTCGCCGACCCTCCTTTGGTCTGGGTCACCTGGTGACGCGTCTGCATTCCACGTCTAGGGCTGTCATGCTCACGTTCGTGCCTCTGGCACGGACAAGCTCACTGCCCACACCCTTCCCTGTGTCTTCCTCGGCTTCCCCCTTGACGCGTCTGACTGGCACTTCTACCACCCGCCGTCGCACAGGTTCTTTCACTCCCGTGACGTCACCTTTAACGAGTCCGTCTCCTTCTTCCGCTGCTTCCCCCACCGAGGTCCCCCAGTTACCCCCCCCCTTTTCGTGGTCACCCCTTCCCCTGTCGTTGCCGCCCCTCCTCCTCCCCCTCCCCGTCCTGCCCCCTCTAGTGTGTCCCACGTAACCTCACTTATGTCGGTTGTACCGGTTGAGGAGTCTACTGACTCTGGTAGTCTTGCGGCGCAGTCCTCGCCGCCTGCCCCTTCTGAGGTGTCCCCTCCTCCGACGCCTCCGCAGCCGCAGTCGCCACCGCTGTCGCAGCCGTCGTCACTGTCGCCGCCGTCGCTGCAGCCGTCGTTGCGACCGCCGCCGCCGCAGTCGTCGCCGCAATAGTTGGTTGCCTCTGGGGGTGTTGGAGTTGGGGTGGGTACTAGTCGTGGGACTCCTGTCGTGGCTTGTCCCTGCGGGCCTAGGGGTGGTACCGGTGCTCGAGGGGTTCTGAGCTCTGGGGGTGTTTCTTCTGGGGGTGCTGGTTTGGAGTGTCCTGGAGGTAGCCGCTCGGCAGCTTGCGGTCCCGGTGTCGGCGTCACACCGCCGTCACAGCAGTCCCCGCCGGTGTCTGCTCTTTGCCTGCTCGGCCTTCCGTCTCCTGACCCCGTGCCCGTGCCTCCTCCTCCTCCTCCTCCTCCTCCTCCTCCTCCTCCTCCTCCTCCTCCTCCTCCTCCTCCTGTCTTCGGCCCTGTGTTCCCTCCTTCGGACGCATCTCCGGCCCGTTCCCCCCTCATTCCCCTCCTGTGTCCCCTCCTCTGTCTCCTGACCCGACTCCCCCGTCTCACGTCTGGTCTCGCTGTCCCTCCCGTGCTCGACTTGTCTCCCCTGTCTCGCGCTCTCACCCTATGTTGCTTCGTTCCCACGCGTCTCGTCCTCCCCTTCTCCCGTCGCCCCCTCCGTCCTCCCTTGTCATTGCTCCCCCCCCTCTGTCTGACTACCTGCGTGCCGCTCGTCCTCTTGTTCCTCGGGTCCTTGCCTCTCTCGTTACCGACCCGTCTGTTCCGGTTTCGAGCCTTGACGCCCTTGTCGCTGTGGTCGCTGACTTCGCCTCTACCCGCCGCCTTGACTACGCCACCGCTCTGGTCTCTGACCCTGCCTGTCCTCCGTCTGTCGGGGGTGCTCCTGCCCTTGGAAGTGACGTCCTGGAGGACCGCCAGTACGAGCTTGCTTTCCTGTCCGAGGCTGCTCCCCATCTCTGTTCCATGCTTCTAGTCCCTGAGGGTGACCCCGACGCTTTCGACATCCTGACCCCTCGCACTTACGCTGAGGCGGTCTCGGGACTCTGGGCCTCTCAGTGGATAGCTGCCATGGAGCAGGAGATGGCATCTTGGAGATCCACCGGCACCTACGTCGACGCAGTTCCCCCACCTGGGGTGAACGTAGTTGATGGCCGCTGGCTCTTCAAGGTGAAGCGCCCTCCAGGAGAGCCGCCTGTGTTCAAGGCGCTCTATGTGGCTAGAGGTTTTAGTCAGCGTGAGGGGGTGGACTTCTTCCAGACCTTCGCTCCGACCCCGAAGATGACTACTTTTCGGGTGCTACTACACGTAGCAGTGCAGCGTGACTACGAGCTTCACTCCCTTGACTTCTCCACTGCGTTTCTTCAGGGCAGTCTACACGAGCAGGTCTACCTGCGTCGCCCTCAGGGTTTCACTGGTACCTTCCCTCCTGGGACCCAGTGGCTTCTCCGGCGCCCCGTCTACGGCCTGCGGCAGGCTCCCCATGAGTGGCACGACACGCTGCGTGCTACGCTTGTTGACCTGCAGTTCTTTCCGTCCTCTGCAGACCCCTCGCTCTTCGTTCGTGCTTGCCAGACCCCGTTCTACATCCTTGTTTACGTAGACGACCTGTTCTTTGCCACGGCAGACAGGGACGCACTGGCCTCCGTGAAGGCAGAGCTGCTGAAGAGACACACCTGCACTGACCTTGGAGAACTGCGCCGTTACCTTGGCTTGCAAATCTCCAGGGACAGAGCAGCGCGCACCATCACTTTGACTCAGTCACACTTGGTGCGCCAGGTCCTTCAGAGGTTCGGCCTTCAATTCTCCTCCGCACAGCCCACTCCTCTGCCTCTAGACCACAGGCTCTCGGCTCCTGTTCCTGAGGAGTCAATAGAGCCCACTGGTCCTTACGCAGAGCTGGTGGGTTTCCTCATGTACCTAATGATTTGCACTCGTCTAGATCTCGGATACCCTCTCAGCATCCTGGCTCGCTTTGTGGCCACAGGCAGACACCGACCACAGCACTGGTCGGCCGCTAAGAGGGTTTTGCGTTATCTTGCGAGTTCATCGGGCATGGGGCTAGTGCTGGGAGGACGCAGGCTAGTGGTCCTTATTGGGCACACAGTCGCTTCTTGGGCAGACGACGTTGAGACCCTCAGATCCTCGCAGGGCTACTGCTTTAGCCTTGGTTCGGTTGCCATCTCGTGGAGGTCCACCCGTTCCTCGTCTGTTGCCCAGTCTAGCTGTGAGGCTGAGTTCTACGCCGGTGCCATGGCGGCACAGGAGCTCCGCTGGCTGACCTTCTTGCTCACTGACTTAGGTGAGCGGCCTAGCTCTGCCCCGGTCCTGTACGCTGACAACAGGGCCATGATCCTCCTGTGTCAGGAGCCTCGACTCGAGGGCAGAGCGAAGCACATTCAGTTGTGGTACTTCCTCCTGCGTGAGCTGCAGCAGCGTTGCCAGGCGCGCATAGTACACTTGGCCTCCGGTGCCAACACAGCTGATATCTTTACGAAGGCGCTTGCGCCTAAAGATCATCAGCGGCACTGTGTACAGCTGGGTCTCGTTCCTGTAGCCTCTCACTTGCTAGGGCCTTGACTTTGTACTGTCCTTTACATATATATTTTACCCAGACTGGCCTTGTGGCCTCTCCCAGTGGCTGGACTAGTAGTGCCGCTCTGGGCTTGCTCTTGCCTTGTCTGTACTCCTTTTGACTGGTCTTTAGGCCCTTGTCTCAGAGGCTGGACTAGTAGTGCCGCCCTGAGCTGCTTCTTCCCTTATTAGGCACTGGCCCTATATAGTCTAAGGGGTGTGTCAAATGTAACTTAGGTTGTTACTGTAGACTATACTGGATTGTGCCTTAGAGGGTACAACACCCTAGTCTATATATCCTCGTACACACACATTCTAGTTCCATCATTTTCTTTCTGATACGCATAGCGCGCAACTTGCCGAACAGGTACTTTCCCTAGAGCTATAAATCCTTGTAATGCCTTTCTATTATTAACCTTGACTTTCCACATGATTATGTGCTCAGGTTATTCAACCTTGGACTACCCACAAGTTCATTTGCTCAGGTTCACTCCTATAAGACTTCCGCTGTGTTACTGGTCTACCATTCTAGTAAAGATCCTTGGCCAACACTTGAGGTTTTCCAAGTGTTCGTGTTTGCAGATTCTATACTTAGTCTCCTGCAACAACACCCATCAAATTATTACATGGTATGAGAGCTGTCTGGAATTAAGACTACTGTCAACAATGACTGGATCAACACCAACACAATCTACTGAATCTACTTCCGGAACTACAGGAGTACTTGTCTCCTCGACTGCCATTGGTCTCTCAGCCTCTGGACCGTTTCCACCGGTTTATGCGCACATTGGTATGCAGCAGCAGAATCCGCCTTCTGTCAGTACTCCAGGTGTTTCATCGACTACACCTGCAACGCAACAACAGCAAACACAGACAACAACACAACAACAGGCAACAGCACAGTATTTTTCAACTCAGTCAATATCGTCCGCGTTTAGTGGAATGAGACTTGACGTCTCAAGTTCTGGCTCGTTTGCCTTCTCACCTTTTACTCAGCAGCCACAGTCTCAGCACCAGCACCCCTTTATATCTTCGGGCTTTTACCTGCTAGGCAACAACAACAGCAACAACAAGAGCAGCATCCACAGCAATTTCAACAACACCAACAGCCTCAACAACAGGGTATTGTCTTTCAACCACCAATTTTACTTACCTGCACGCAGATCAAGACTACTATACCTTTCAACGGAGTTGATTTTTACTCCTGGAGCTTCGAGTTTGAGCTTCTGGCGCAGTCCACCGGGCTATGGCCGTTCTTCACCGGCGAGTTCACGTATCCTGTTACGGGAACACAACTGGAGCAGCAGAGTTTCTTGCACACCTCTCTCGGGGCGTACACGGTTCTCGTTCGAAACTTGTCACCAAAGGAGCTGCTCGGCGTTCGATCTTTTCATTCAAGCTTCACGCCAGCTGAAACTGCATGGAACCATCTGAAAGGGGTGTACATGGCAAAGGATACAATAACAGTGAGTAAAATTCTTTCGCAGCTGACAAGTATGCAGATGATGACAAACGAGAATGTCATGGATTACGTCAATCGCGTCCGTACACTACGAGTTCAACTGGAGAAGAGTTGAGGATACTTCCCTCGTGAGAAGTATCACACGGTCCTTCTTGCTGGCCTTGGACCCGAATGGCGACAGACGCGCGCCTTCCTACGCATGAATCCAAACCTCTTCGAAGTCGAGATTTCTTTATATCTTCAAGCAGAACAGCACGACCTTGACCTACAAGCAGCACGCAACAAAAAGGGGGATGTACAACTCAGTTTCTATTCAACACCAACTCGACGTCCTCAATACTTCTGACAGATTTGCAACAAGGGAGGACATTCTACTGACCGATGCTACTTTAACAAGAGATATTTACCTCCTGAAGAATCGCAGAGGTTGCAATCATCACAGCAACTACGACAGCCTTTGAAGCAGTCTTTGCAGTAGCCTGCACCTCCAAAAGCAACACCTGCAACATCGACGGTTTTGTCATCTCCAAGTTTGAATTACCAAGCAGTCAGAGCTAGAGCTAGGCCGCTCACCTAAGTCGGCGAGCAAGAAGGTCAGCCAGCGGAGCTCTTGTGCCGCCATGGCACCGGCGTAGAACTCAGCCTCACAGCTAGACTGGGCAACAGACGAGGAACGGGTGGACCTCCACGAGATGGCAACCGAACCAAGGCTAAAGCAGTAGCCCTGCGAGGACCTGAGGGTCTCAACGTCGTCTGCCCAAGAAGCGTCTGTGTGCCCAATAAGGACCACTAGCCTGCGTCCTCCCAGAACTAGCCCCATGCCCGATGAACTCGCAAGATAACGCAAAACCCTCTTAGCGGCCGACCAGTGCTGTGGTCGGTGTCTGCTTGTGGCCACAAAGCGAGCCAGGATGCTGAGAGGGTATCCGAGATCTGGACGAGTGCAAATCATTAGGTACATGAGGAAACCCACCAGCTCTGCGTAAGGACCAGTGGGCTCTACTGACTCCTCAGGAACAGGAGCCGAGAGCCTGTGGTCTACTGGTAGAGGTGTGGGTTGCGCGGAGCAGAACTGAAGACCGAACCACTGAAGGACCTGGCGCACCAAGTGTGACTGTGTGAGAGTGATGGTGCGCGCTGCTCTGTCCCTGGAGATCTGCAAACCCAAGGTAGTGACGCAACTCTCCTAGGTCAGTGCAGGCGTGTCTCCTAAGCAGCTCGGCCTTCACGGAGGTTAGTGCGTCTCTGACTGCAGTAGCGAAGACCAGGTCGTTTACATAGACAAGGATGTAGAAGGGAGTCTGGCCAGCATGAACGAAGAACGAGGGGTCTGCAGAGGACGGAAAGAACTGCAGGTCAGCCAATGTAGCACGCAACGAATCGTGCCACTCACGGGGCACCTGTTGCAGGCCGTAGACGGGGCGCCGGAGAAGCCACTGGGTCCCATGAGGGAAGGTACGAGTAAATCCTTGAGGACGGCATAGGTAGACCTGCTCGTGTAGACTGCTCTGAAGGAAAGCAGTGGAGAAGTCGAGGGAGTGAAGCTCGTAGTCACGCTTAGCTGCTACGTGTAGCAGTGCCCAAAGAGTAGTCATCTTCGGGGTCGGGGCGAAGGTCTGAAAGAAGTCTACCCCCTCGCGCTGACTGAAGCCTCGAGCCACGTAGCGTGCCTTGAACACATGCGGCTCTCCAGGAGGGCGCTTTACCTTGAAGAGCCACCGGCCATCGACTACGTTCACCCCAGGTGGGGGAACTGCGTCGACGTAGGTGCCAGTGGATCTCCAAGATGCCTTCTCCTGCTTTATGGCAGCTATCTACTGAGAGGCCCAGGGTCCCGAGGTCACCTCAGCGTAAGTCTAAGGGGTCGGGATGTCAAAGGCGCCTGGGTCAACCTCAGGGACTAGCAGCATGGAGCGGAGATGGGGAGTAGCCTCGGAAAGGAAAGCAAGCTCAAACTGCCTATCCTCTAGGACGTCACTGCCAAGGGTAGGAGCACCCCCGACGGACGGAGGATGGACGGAGGGTCAGAGACCAGAGCGGTGGCGTAGTCAAGGCGGTGAGTAGAGGCGAAGTCAGCGACAGCTGCGACAAGAGCGTCAAGTCAAGGGACAGGAACACACAGGTCGGTAACGAGGGAGGCAAGGACCCGAGGAACAAGAGGACGAGCAGCACGAAGGTAGTTAGACAGACGGGGAGGCATGACAGCGAGTGACAACGGAGGAGGCAAAGGCAAGAGGGGAGGACGAGACGCGTGGGAACGAAGCAACATAGGGTGAGAGTGGGGAACAGGAGAGACAGGACGAGCACGCGAGGCACGGTGAGACTAGACGTGAGACGGAGGCGTCGGGCCAAGAGATCAAGGAGGTGCAACAGGAGGGGAATGAGGTGGGAAACTAGCCGGGGAGGATTCAGGCGGAGGAAACACAGGGCCGTGAACAGGTAGGGGAGGAGGCGGCCGGGGAAGCGCAGGTGAGCGGTCAGGGGAGGGAAGGCTGAGCAGGCGAAGGGCGGACATTGGTGACGACTGCTGCTACTGCTGCTGCTGCTGCTGCTACTGCTCGACGCCGATACCGAGACCACCAACTGCAGTGCGACTACCTCCGGAACCCTCCACTCCAGCACCCCTAGAGCGAGAACCCTCTCCAGCACCGATGCCACCCCCGAGCCCACCGGGACAAGCCACGACAGGAACCCCAGGACTAGCACCCTCCTCAACG